CCCGATGTCACGCTATCGTTTGCCCCCCCCCCGCAGCCTGGAAAGGACAGCCGGCTGCTTCCCGCGCTGGTGGCGGGCCGCGCGGCGCTGATCCCCGCCTTGATGTTGTGCAACGTGCAGCCGCGCCGTCACCTGCCCGTCGTCTTCCGGCACGACGCCTCCTTCGCCGCCTTCATGCTGGTCTTCGCCTTCACCAACGGCTACCTGGCCAGCCTGGCCATGTGCTTCGCACCCAAGTCAGACTCTTGTCCTTCCTTCCTCCTTGCCGTCGCGCTCGGTCCGCTCCCTCCGACAGTTGTCCCTCTGGTCGCGGCGCAGGAAGGTTCTTCCTCACGAGGCGGAGCGCGCCGGCTCCATCATGGCGTTCTTCCTGTCGCTGGGTCTGGCTTTGGGCGCGGCGCTCTCTTTCGCCTTCCGAGCTCTGGTTTGAGTCGGCGCCGCCCGCTCCGTTGGACGCCGCAAAGACTCGTCCCGGACCCAAACCGAGTCGAGGTCGCCCGTTGTTCTTCAGCGACTTTGCCCTGCTGAAAGAATGAGATTTCAAAGATTTGCTGTGAGAGACCCGATTCACCGCGATAAACGTCGACGTCGTCCCTTGCCCGAGTCGTCCGCTCGATTCACTCCGCCGGCGTCGGCGCTCATGCGACGACTTGTCAAATGCCAGTTGTCGCCGAAGACCGGTTGAAAACGTGCTCGTGATGCCTTTTATTTTGGCAACTTTTGGCCAAGTCCAAATAAAAGTGCAGACTTCCGGGAGAAGGGTCCGGCTGCAGACCCGGAAGAGGTAAGTCCCTAAGTCAGTGAGATCAATAAACCTCGTGAGAGACCCGATTCACCGCGATAAACGTCGACGTCATTCGTCCCTTGCCCGAGTCGTCCGCTTGATTCACTCCGCCGGTTGTCGCCGAAGACCGGTTGAAAAAAATATATAGTCCCTAAGTAAGTGAGATCAATAAACCTCAACTTTTCCGGGACTTAATTTGCCTAAACTTAACACAACCACTTTGGGACTTTATTTTGAAAATCAAATTTGCCGAAACTTACCACAGCCACTTCCGCTCTATGGCCTGAAACGACCTCCTGCGAGTATGCAGCTGGATACGATTGACTTCCGGCGGTTGGACGCGTCGTCGGGCAAATCGGGCGCGAAAGCAGCAGGTCTCCCGAACGGGTCCCGCTTGGCCTCTCGCCCTTTCCGCGCACGTTTTCCCGCAAGCGTCTCGCTCATTGTCGGGCTCCAAGGTGGAAGATTTCCAGCAGCGCGGCTTGTCTCGCGTTCGCGTGGCGGAACTACATGTCGTCGCGGAGGAGCCTCGCCTGGTGCTCGTCGGCGGAATTTCCTTCGGAGGAGGAGGGGGAGGAGCTTGTCAGCCACCGCCGCAGCCGCGGCGCAAATCAACTTTTGAACTTGGGGGCTTCGAATGTCGGCGCTTTTCTTCGCCGCGACATCTCCGAGACGCCCAAGCGCGAACGGGAGCGCGACGTCTCGCTCGCGTGAGCGTGCGCGGAGCGGCTAGCTAGCCGGTTTAGCCTCCTAGCTCATGTTAGTTTAGCGGTCCCGTCGGCGCACTCGGTCCCGCCGGAAGTCGGCCTCGTCGGCCACCGTCGACGCGGACGCGGACGCTCGCCGTCGCCTCGCCGATGGGCACCAGGAGCGGAAGCGGATCGCCGTCGCCTCCGGGCTACGGAGCCGCCGCCGCCGAGCCGGACGCGGGCCGCTTCGACTCCACCGCGGTGCTCGACAGCGGCTCCGAAGACTCCGACTCGGCCGACGACGAGGACCCGGCCCGCGCGTCTCCCGGCGGCGGCGGCAAGCGGGACGTCAAGCGGGAGAGGGACGAGCGGGCGCCGCTCGCCCGGCCGCCCCCCGGCGCGCCGGAGGCCAAGCCCGGCAAGAAGACACGCGGCAGGGTCAAGATCAAGATGGCCTTCATCGACAACAAACTCAGGAGGTACACGACGTTCAGCAAGAGGAAGACGGGCATCATGAAGAAGGTGAGTGACGTCAGAGCGTAACTACGTGATGTCAAGGGACGTAGTTACGCCCCACGCACACTCTAGAATCACTTGGCATGCGAAACGGAAGCGATCGCGTGTGCGCCAAACTCAGGGGTCACGTCGGATTCCGACCCCCCGTCTATCCTCCGCCGGCAGGCGTACGAGCTGTCGACGCTGACGGGCACGCAGGTTCTGCTCCTGGTGGCCAGCGAGACGGGTCACGTGTACACGTTTGCCACGCGCAAGCTTCAGCCCATGATCACGTCGGAGACGGGCAAGGCGCTCATCCAGACGTGCCTCAACTCGCCCGACTCGCCGCCGCCGCGCTCGGACCCCTCGTGCGACCAGAGGATGAGCGCCGCCGGCTTCCAGGAGACCGACCTCACCTATCAAGTGAGCGAGGCGGCCGACGCCTGCCCCGCCGCCGCCAAGGTAACGCCCGATGTCGCCCCGCCCCCCGCGCCAGTCTTCCCTCTGCGAGTGAATCGGGAGCATCGAACTCACGGTCGGCGCTTCGCGTGTCTCCGCAGGACCTCAACAAAGTGGTCGCGAGCGTGTCCGACACGGCACCCGGCACGCCGCCCGCTTCGTCCTCGCCGTCGGGGCAGACGGCCGCCGCCGCCGTCGTCG